GGTTACTCAGTTAATCACTTTGTATTTTCTATCTGCCTATAAAAAAGAATCTAAAGATTTACTCAAGACTAATGTAGCCTTTCAAAGTTTATGTGTGTAACATATTTGCAAACTACACTAATAAGTAATATTTTATTAAATTTATTTTTTAAAACAATTTTTTCTCATTTTACCTATCTATTCCAGTTCCCACTCCCTTCCCTCCTCCTGCTCCCCCTATCCCCCCCAGCACCTTCCAACTACTTCTCAGAGAGCATAAGTCTTCCCATGTGGAGTCAACAAAGCTTGTCACATCTCTTTGAGGCAGGTCTGAGGCCCTCCCCACTGTATCTAGGCTGAGCAACATATCCCTCCAAAGAAAATGGGTTCCAAGATGCCAGTTCAAGCAGTAGGGATAAATTCTGGTCCCGTTGCCAGTGCCCCACAGACTGCTCAAGACACACAACTGTCACCCGTACTCAGTGGGCCTAGTTTGGTCCTATATAGGCTCTCCTCGCTCTCAGTCCAGAGTTCCTGATTTAAAAAGGAAATGTTGGGTCTGGGTTATCTCACTCAGGATGTTTTTTTCTACTTCCATCCATTTGCACGCAGATTTCAAGATGTCATTGTTTTTTACTGCTGAGTAGTACTCTTATGTGTAAATGTGCCACACTTTCTTTATCCACTCATGGGTTGAGGGGCACCTAGGTTGTTTCCAGATTCTGGCTATTATAAATAATGCTGCCATGAAGATAGTTGAACAAATATCTTTGTAGTATGATTGAGCCTACTTTGGGTATATGCCCAAGATAAACATGGTATGTGCTCATTCATAAGTGGATACTAGCTGTAAAGCAAAGGAGCCTATAGTCACGACCCTAGAGAAGCTAAGGAACAAGGTGAACCCTAAGAAAAACATATATACATCCAACTGGAAAGGAGAAATAGACAAGATTGCCTGACAAACTGGGAGCATGGAGGTGGGTAGAGAAAGGCAGAAGGGGAAGAGGAGAAAAGAAGGGGAAGAACTTGAGGGAATGGGATGGTCAAGATGGAGGAGGGACAGAGATGAGAGCAAGGAAAGAGATACTTTGATTGAGGGAGCTATTATGGAGTTAGCAAGAAACCTGACACTAGAGAAATTCCCAGGAATCCACAAGGATGACCCCAGCAAAGACCCTAAGTAATAGAGGAGAGGGGGCCCAAACTGGCCTTGCCCTGGAGTCAAATGGATGAATATCTTAAATGTCACCATAGAACCTTCATCCAGCAACTGATGGAAACAGAGGCAGAGACCTGCATCAGAGAACTGGACTGAGCTCCCAAAGTTTAGCTGAGGAGTGAGAATTTGAACAAAGAGGTCAAGACCATGATGGGGACACCCACTGAAACAGTTTACCTGAGCTAATGGGAGCTCACCAACTCTAGCAGGACAGGGAAGGAAACAGCATAAATTCAAACTAGTCCCTCTGAATGTGGGTGACAGTTGTATGGCTGGGGCACACTGCGGGGACACTGGCAGTGGCATCAGGATTTATCCCTACCACTTGTACTGGCTTTAAGGGAACCTATTCTCTTTGGATGGATACCTTGTTCAGCCTAGATATAGTAGGGAGGGCCTTGGTCCTTCCTCAAACCAATGTGCCCTACCCTCTCTGAAGAGTGGATGGGAGGTGGGGGCGGGGAGGGAAGGTAGAAGGAATGGGACGAGGGGAGGGAGTGGGAACTGGGCTCGGTATGTAAAATGAAAAAAGTTCTCTTTTTCAAAAAAATAAAAATAAGTAAGAAAATAAAAATGAAATGTTGGCATTTTTCTTACATTATAGTATAAGATTAATGTTATGTTAAATAAATATGTAATAAAATGTATGGAAAATTTTCTTCCTGTAAGTCAGTGGTTCTCAGCCTTCCTCATGCTGTGGCCCTTTAAGGTAGTTCCTCATGTTGTGGTCACCCCAGCCATAAAATTATCTTTATTTTACTTCATTGCTACTACATAACTGTAATTCTGCTACTGTTATCAATGTAAATACACCTGACATGTGACCCCTGTGAAAGGGTCATTTGACCCCGAAAGTGGTCATGATGCACAGGCTGAAAACCCCTGCTGAAGACCTTAGTTCTGCCTGACAGACCACTAAATAAGTGAACTGGCTCTACATTGGTATTTTGGGGGAAAAGACAAGGCATTTGATATGAGGACATTAATCTACAATGTTTTCAAGTAACAAAAAGCATTATTAAAATAACAGGACCTCTAGGTTTGATGGCACAAAAGCAAGCCTTAATTTTTTTCCTTGTTACTTAACATTTAAATAAAGCACCACAAAACAGGTCAACATATACCAAAATTTGTCTTATAGTACACTGACCCCATTAAATAATCTAAACAAAAGAATGTACTACCGAATATTTTTAAGATCTACTAACCCTAGGGAATTCCCAGCATCTAGTAATATATTAATGACTTGGTGACTGCCACAGTAAAAAGACAAAAACTTGCTTTCCCATGTAAGCTAACATTTTTTGATTTCTTTGGCTGCTGAATTGTTTCTCAGTAACACAGTCTAATGGAATCTGTGTTCTCTGAAAGCTCACTGGGGAGCACTGCATTCTCTTCTCTCCACCTGGATCTTGTTATCTATCCTAACTACCCCTAGAATATGTATTTATATAACCAATAGGTAATGAAACACATGTAGGATAAAATTTAAAGCAAAGTAATAAGAACTGAGGTTTTATGAATTAAAAAATGAACATAAAATTCTCCAACCTCTACTTAATATGACAAGGTTTTTGCAATCTAATGTTTCAAGAATGGATTTTTTAATCAAAAAGCTGAAAGCATCAAAGAAAACGGGTAAATACATTAAGTAAAAAGAAAGCTTATTTTCTAAAAAAAAAATCAGATGAATACTAAAATTATATTCTTTTCAGTGTCTTTACTTCAAGCAGAAGTATTATAAATGTTGGGCTATGCTGTAAAAAACTCAGAAGGTGCTGAGCTGCCCACCTCAGGCTTGGGAACTTCTGGGAGGCTGATCATGGGATGGACAGTTTTTCCACAGTGGGAGAACAGTCAAAGAACCTTAGGCATCTTAGCCTCTATTGGTGCTGTGTAACTAGTGCCACTTGACCACAGGCTACAGTGAGTGGGCTTTAAAGGTTACACTGTGTAACTTTAAAAGTGCTAAAGCAGATGTGCGTATTTGGTAGGAATTAGGAGAAAGGCTTCAGTAAGTACTCAAACCAACGAAGGGAGTCAGTGAGCACTTTTATCCTGAAAAGTCTGATTTTGTTGTTTTCTTTTTTGTTTTTCAAGACAGGGTTTCTGGGTGTAGCCCTGGCTGTTCTGGAACTCACTTTGCAGACAAGGCTGGCCTCAACTGAGGGATTAAAGGTTTGCACCACCACCACCTGGCTTAATTTTATTTTGTATATGCATCAATGTGAGTATATATCACGTGTGCAGGTACCATGGAGGCCATCAGATGGATCCCCTGAAGCTGGAGTTACAGGCAGTTGTGAGCCATCTGGTGTAGGTGAACTGGGAACCAAACTCAGGTCCTCTGGGAAAGCAGGAAGCACTTTTAGCTGCTGAACCACCCGCCACTCCAGCCCTGAGCATTTTGTTCTCACTGAATAAACCAGTAAGATGCTCTGTTTTCATTAATATGCATATACACAGAATTATAGAGACAACTACTCTATATTTTAGTTAATGAATGCTTTTTAATAAATAGTTGATTCTCATTTTATCTCCCAGCCATTAAAAACTAAATATATTCCATGTTATTTTATTCTAACATCTCACAATGCTGTCGCTCTGGTAAGATCTCAGTGGCCTGTGACATGCAGCTTCAGGTTGTAGAACACAAACATACACACCATCAGTCCTCAGTTACCCATGTAGGTGAGCTATCAAATTCTAGGTACAACAAGAACTACTCAGCAGGCTTGGCAGTAAGGATACAAACTTGAATGTGGGTATAATTTTGGCTGAAACTCTCCTCACAATGACAATAACCGATTTATAAAAACTTGACACTATTCTTGACACTTTTAAGCTGATTTGGATACTGCCACCTGACAGTTCAATTGTTCAACAGCTTAAAGTTTCTCTAGAGAGAAAAATGTAAGAAACTGACAAATATTACATTACAAAGCTACAGAGAGCCTTTCATAAACTTGTAAGACCATGCCTTGGTGTCAAAGCAAGGCCCCTCTACACACTGACACAGGGTCCCTCTTCACAACGTGCTTCACACTGCTTGGATGCAGGGCTCATTACTAATGTTCAAAGCTTTCCTACCTCTTACCTTTTTTTTTTAGAGTCTCCAGTGGTTACTTACGGGGAAAATGGGTGGGGGTAACCTACAGACGCACGAGTGACTCAACTCAGCTGCATCATAAAAGCCCCCCCCCCCCGTGTGGGACCACACAGGAGCTCCTGCCCAGGAGTCTGGCCCATCCTGCACCTGCCTCTAGGACCCAGCAGCTGTTTACTACTAATGTAGCAAGGAAGGGCATGCCTGGGTTTTGATTCAGGTGGATCAACAACTAGGTATAACTGGTCATCGAGTCTCTTGACCACAGATGATAGAAACTGATTTAACGAAAACTAAGAAGAGATTATGAGAACCTGTAAGCCCACTTGGCAGTGGAGGGGCAGAACCATATGTTCAAAGCCAGCCTGAGCTACCCACTGAGACCCTGTCTCCAAAAAAAAAAAAAAAAAAACACAAGATGCAAGTTTACTTCTAAAGGAAAATATCTAATAGAAATAATTTTAAGGAGGAGAAGCAATGGCTCTGACCAAAGCACAACTTAATATTTAGAGAGGGGTGCTGTGGCTCATTGTGGGGGGTCTGATCCCCAGCACTGAAAACAAACAAGTAAACAGCACTTAAAATGCTTCGAAAGCACAGTTTAAGATGTCTGTGCCTACGGAATATAAATCCCACTTTTCTGAAAGCATTTTTACATAGTCAACACCATGGAGTGTCTCTGAATGAGCTCACCTATAAATGGGATGGAGGCCAGGGAATCACCAGGCGGACTGGTGTTTGAAGCCTTCCTTTCCTCCATCCTTCTTATATGAACCTCTCTGCGAGCATCGTTAGGCAGCCAGCAGGTGGTGTCTGACCCGGTTTCCTGGTCATTCACTGCCAAGATGTAAGACTGATGTCTTAAAGGCTGTGGTGTCTGGCGACCAGATGGAGGTTTTTCTCTTAGGATCACAGATTCTTTATTATCTAGCACATCTGGCTGCTGAATTTCAGCCTCCTGTAAGTTTAAATCTCCATTCCTTGGACTGGTAGATAATTCTAAATCTGAAGTTCCCAAGTTCTCACTGAGCTGAGGCCCTGTCTTAGCAGAAGTTCCGGGTAAACATGGGGACAGCTCGGTCCCCAGCTGGTGCTCGAGCGTGCTCTCAGGTCTGAACCATGTCTGCTGATTCAGTGGACTATGCTGATGCAGATGATTGACGGGCCTTTGGTCTTTCGTGGACACCAGAGAGTGCTGGCTGAAGGATGATTTTGAGACAGGTGCAGAAGGCGCTTTCAGAGAATTACTTCGGACTTTCACAAGTGGGGACCTGTCCTGTGAAACAGCCCGTGGCAGTGGCATCCCACTCATAGTTGGAAAAGTTCTGTTGGAATGTGGTGGTCTTAGGTCTGGTGGGATTTTTTTAAACTGTGAAACAGGTCCCACTCCTCTACCACTCAGTCGCCTGTTATCAGAGTTAACAACAGGGGCCACAGTCAAATTTGAACCTCGAAAAGGTTTGTGAGTTTCTTGCTGCCTGGGTCGTTCACAAATACCTCGTCTATCATCTTGCTCAGTGAATCCACTCCACTTATATGTCTGTTTTCGTTCCCCATTTGAGTCAGGCATCTGACTTTCAGAATTGACACTGGCTGTGGCTTCACCCTGCCCCTCGATGTAATCCCATGAACGAGTTCTATGATTACTAAAACTAACAGGTGGAGCGGTCAGTGCTCCTTGAGACGCGCTTCTTGGGCAATACTTCATCAGCACAGAATCTTCCAGTCTTTCCTGAGATACACTGCGCTGCCGGATCTGAACCGACTGGGGCACTCGATCATGAGAGGTGCTTCGACGTCGTCCCTGCGAAGTAGTGCGGGTGGGTACCACCTGGTTATAGTCTGCTGCACTCTGAGATGCAGCTCGTAAGCTGTCCAACCTTTCTTGAATTGTCCGACAACCAATGTGCAATCTCCTGTTATCAATGTATTCTTTATAAGTCTTATAATTTTTCCAGTCTATGTGCTGATGGGAGTTTGGGGAATAGTGATTGACAGGCACAGAAGGAGAATCCACAGCTTGAGGTCTACTACTTGAGACTCCTTCTAAATGTCCACTGTAATTTCCAGATTTAAGTAAAATTCCAGAAGGTTCCAACGATCTGGAGCCTGTGGTCTGATGACTTAGGTGGGCAGTGGGAACTGATGACGGTGATGTGGTTCTTGATGCTGCTTTTGAAGAGGTCTGCTCATTCACACCATACCTTACTTCTTCAGTTCTATGCGAAGGACCTGAATGGTTGTTTCTATTGGATAACAAGTCTACCACCTTCTCAGAAGGCACAATGACAGTCCTCACACTTTCACTGCAAACACACACTGCTGTGTTTGACTTTGCAACATCCGTTGGTGATGGAGGCACTTGTATTTCCATTCTATAAGCCCGGCCAGGTTGTGTCAGGACCGGTGTACTGGTCTGCTGTTTATTCGGTAAGGAGTCTGGAGGAGATATTTCGACAGGCTGTGCCGTGGCTGAAGGAGTGGATGGCAACCAGGGATAGCAAACTGGTGGAGGTTCAGGTATGTTACGGGCATTGCCACTGTAAGCTTCATTGCCTTTCAGGTAGGCATCTTGAGAATATGCCTGGATGAAAATCAGAGAAAAGTATCACAAACAATTTTCATGTTTGTAGTGCACTATGACTAAGCAAGCCCTACCTTAACCATGAATGATGCTTACTATGACATGCATGCAAAGCACAGCACATCCTCAAGAATTTTTAAAAAATCACCTTGGAAAATTAAGGCCCTAAACAGCCATGCTAAATATTTTCATATTTAAAGTCACTGAATGTGCATATTTGAGAAATTAGGTAGCATATATTAAAAACAAAAAATATGAAAAAGATAATTCATCTTTCTGAATATAAACTTTTTATTTTACTCTAACAACCATTACTCGATAAACTGGTCTTTCTTATGTAAGGCATTTCAACAACTAAGAAGCATGCATGCAGCTCTTATTTTTTTAATTTATAAATTAATCTAGCAATACTTTTGAAATTCTAAGAACTGAAATTTAATTAGAAAAACTCCACACAAGCAGAGCTCATGGATGCCACATAGGATTATGCACAGCCAGGCAGTTAGGTGTGGTGACTGTCACCCCTGATCAAATGAGTAACTCCTGGCTAGCAGCATATCCTGCCCTCACACTACACAGCCTGCAAAGCTCAAGGGCAGCTACCACACAGCGGCAAAGGATTAGGAGAGGGTGAGATACTTAAAAAATACAAATGCAGATAAATACGCTTTAACACCAGTTACAGAGCGCACAAACAAAGCATGATGGTAGAGGGGGAAGGAAAACCACGTACTACATACACGCTCTGCAAATTAGTATGATTAAGCAAACTTACAACTTTAACAGATTGGCTTGTGACAAATCTCTATGGAACATAACTTAAAAAACAAGGAAATGGCTACTGTGCATCTCTTACCAGTGCTGTGACATCCTTTGTAAATTGTAGCTAGCAGAAAATGGGAAAACACAGTAGAAGCTGCTTACTGATATAAAGACAGAATCATGTTGTCATATTGATGCTGGAAACAGCAAGCTAAAAATACATCTATAATGATTTCTCCGGAAGGCACCAAGAGAGTGAAGGGCAGTGGAGTGTAGGAATACCTTCAGCACCACCAAGCATCCTATTCTCAAGCTCTCCTCTGGGTCTCACTGGATCTGTCGTCTATGCTTGGAAGCAGAATACATCTAGTGGCACATATACCTGACAGGTATGTTCTCCAATATGTACAGCTATCTGATAATGTGCCACAAGCTTCCCTTCAACACGAGCAGCATCGCTGCCTCTCTCTTCCCCTGAGCTTCTTCATCCCTGCTTCCAGACTAAATGAATGCTCTATTATGCATTTAAAATAGTGCACCCTCCTCTTTCCTGGTAGATCAGAGCATAACCACAGGCTGTCAGCTGACTACAGACAACTTCACCATATGACAGGAGGAAACAACTGTTTGGTTTAAACAGATTATTCATTCAAAACTTAAGATCTTTCAACACAATGTCTTTTATAGTGTTTTATTCATTTATTAAATAACTATCAACTAGACATAAAAAGTCACTTCCAGAGTATAACTTGTAGTGGTAATAAGTATTACACAACACAGTCTTGAGTGCAGTTGAGAAATCAAAGCTAAATTTATAAACATAACACACACCGTAATATTTTTATAGCATAAACACTGTAAATGTGAATATGAAGTGTGCGTCTTGGCTATGTACCTGGACATAACAAGCCTAATTTTTTCACACTGATTAATGTCACTGCTTTTCTGCGACACGTGCGTCACACACACACACACACACACACACACACACACACACACACACACACAATGACCTAAGAGAGCTTTAAAGATTCTTGCAGTATTTCCTGCAGTGGTGTCTCTACAGCCGGCAATGTCAGGAAAGCTGGGAAGCTTTGGCAAATCTCTCCTGCACTAGATAGAACACACTGTACTTGAAGAGAATATACACATACTTACTCCCCATAAAAGCCCATTTTTACCCACACAGGTTTTATACATGCTTGAAAAGGTCATTCTGCAGCAATTAAAAGGTAACTCATTTAGTCAAATTTGAAGAGGAACATTATCTATAAAATACTTTAAACGTCTATTTTCCTTAGATATAGCCAAAATTTCTACACAGAAATTCTGTACACTAAATTTGGGAACAAATGGTCTCACCAGTCAACCATCCATAGAGAAATTAACAAGTATTTTATTCCTAAGGTCGTTGTACTAGAGAATAACCCAGAGCTGTACATGGCAATCCCAAAAGCATAAATATATGGCCCCAACAAGTTAGGAACAGAAAACTCACAACTACACAATGCTTTTTCTCCCATGACATTGAAGATTGCTTTGGGCTCCATAATGAAAGACATATATTCATAAGAACAGGTCACTTGGATGGAATCAGAATATGTAATCTTTTGAGGCAAATGAACACTGAGTATAAAGATATGACTTTAAGTTCTGGGAAGAGAACTGATAATTCCAACTCGCTCACATCCGTAACGATGTTGTGCTTTCTCTCATGTGCTTGGTTACACAGCATCAACTCTTCCAACAAGTAATCATGGTCCAACACACCAGTGCTTTAAGTACCCATCAGGGAGTCTTTAAATTATCAGTGGGTACCAATTAAATGGCACAGAATACCCCGTAAGCAAAACAAAGCAATTATGTCCTTATATAATGGTATCTATTTGTATTCTTTTATGATACAGTCATCCTGTATGAAAAAAACATTTACCTGAAATTATATTATTTCAGTATCATTAAGAATTGCTTATGTAGCTACTCTTAACTTTTTCTTTTTAAACCCAAATGGATACTTCAAAATTAAAAACGAATTTAAATTCAATATAAGTACTTATGTAAGGCCTCAAGGTCCCCTGTGAAATAGTTAAGCCCCAGGATCTATACTAAAACACAGTATTTCTATGTAAGGTTAAAAACCAACCAGCCAAACAACAACAACAACAACAAAAAAAACCATTTGATTCTATTTGCATATTAATAGTAACTCCAATAATGATGCTTGTTTTGGCCTGAATGAAAATGGTAACCACAGACCCATCAGGAGTTGCACTATAGGAGGTGTGCCCTTGCTGGAGGAAGTATGTCACTGGGTGTGGGCTTTGAGGTTTCAAAAGCTCAAGTCAGGCCCAATGTTACTCTCTCTTCACCTGCCTTTTCACTCTCTCACCTAGATCCAGATGTAGAACTCTCAGCTACTTCTCCAGTACTGCCTGCATGCTGCCACGCTTTCTGCCATAATGGACTAAACCAACCTCTGAACGGTAAGCTAGTCCCAATTAAATATTTTCCTTTATTAAGAGTTGCCATGGTCATGGTGTCTCTTCATGGCAATAGAAACCCTAATTTTAGCAAAACTTGTCTAAGATCCCATAAAAATTATGATTTCAGAGAACGCATTATGCATTAATTATATTTTATATACACTCTTAATTTCTAAATGGTTTAAAATCAGAGTTAAGACTAAGTATAAAGGTGGGGATTTCTTTTATCATCGAGGGTACATGTTTTTAAATTTTTAAGAGTAAATTTTAGATTTTTGTCTACCATAGTCTTTGACGCTGAGCCTAGACCTGCATGGCCATGCCACCCAGTGTTTACAACGCTTTGCACTATCCTTTATTGTATACTTGCTGTAAAGAATTATATAGCAGACTGACCTAGTTTTCTTCTAATGATTTTTCTTTGTATTTCAGTTTGTTTGTTTGCTTGTTTGAGACAACATTTCTCTGTGTAACAGCCCTGGCTGTACTGGAACTCACTCTGTAGACCAAGGGGGCCTGGAACTTACAGAGATCCACCTGCCTCAGCCTCCAGATGCTGGTATTAAAAGCGTGGACCACCACATCACTTCCTGATCTTATTAGGAAGCTATTTTGCCAGCTGCATGAAATTGTTTGCCATCCTTCATCTATCACAGAATTCTGCACTCAATTACGAACTTAAAAATTTAGGACAATACTAGCCACACGGTTCCAGCAGTATCTGCTGCGGGCAAGGAAAAGTAACTAAAGCTCATGACAATGTAGCTTTGAAGTGGTCTATCTTCACATCTTCTGATTCCAGGTTTACCTAATCTGGAGCCAACAGAGCATTAGAGAAAAGTCCTCCACCTCTAGTCTAGTAACTGGAAGCATCAGTCTTACTCACTAATGCTATTCTGTCACTACATTGCACCTACTCCTTTCTGGTTGAGTCTCCCCAGGCCCTAGTCCACATACTTAGGAAGAATATTCTGTGATCAATAGTGAGCCATTCCTAAATAAAGCTATTATGCCTTGAGGACACTTGGGGTTCATCTCCATGAATCTCAGCTAATTCATCTATTAGATATCAGCAAATAAGATGAATCCTTAGGGTCTCCTTACTGATGCTTTTGATTAAGGAAACTATTTAGGATCTTGTTGGGCTACATTCAAATTATAGCCCCTCTGGAGTGATATTTCATTTGTATTTTAATAAATAAAGCTTGCCTGAAGATCAGAGAGTAAAACAGCCCCACTGGTCAGCCATGCAGACCAGGCAGTGGTGACACACACCTTTAATCCCAGTAGCCACACTGAAACCGAGCGGTAGTGGTGCACACCTTTAATCCCAGTCCTAGACAAGAATATGAGATGGGAGGAGACAGCTCTCAAAGACAGTCTCATTCTGAGGACTCCTGGAGGCAGGGTTGCCATATCCGACTAAGGCAGAGGCTTAAAAGTCAGTGGCTGGCTGTTTTGCTTTTCTAATCTTCAGGTTGAACCCCAATATCTGTCTCTGGGTTTTTATTAGGTTTTTATTAATCATGCTACATCCCTGTTTTACTGAATTTATCTGTAAGTAAAAAACAAGTCACTGAGAAGAGATCATCACCACTTCCTGTATGTTAATGACCTGCCAAGTTCACTGAAAACATTATTTCAAGTGAAAGATTTTTTTTTGATATCCGTTGCTCCTTCTTACACTCAGGAAAGTGTTTTAGACTACACGCCCATTTCGTGCCCATACTGTTTCACTTACTCAAATGCATTTCCTACTAAGCTGCAGAGTCCATTCACAATGAACACTTCTAAAGATCTAACAACACAGTAACAGTTAAAAGAAAAGTTAGCATCTACTTTCTAAAAACTCTTATTTACATATCAAAAAACAAAAATTCGAATTCCTAAAGAAGTGCATACACACTCTGATGTTTGGCCTTGGAGTCAAAGGATACCCACAATGCAACTCAGCTTGATTGTTCAGAAGTTTCATCCTAAAGGGTAACATTAAGAGTCTCCTGCCAAACCGGAGACTAGGGGGTTAGCTCAGAGGCAGAGAGCCTCCCTAGCAAGCCCAAGGCCTCAGCTTCAGAGGAGCTCACTGAGGAATTATAAAACAGTCCCATGAATGACACTTAATTCCAGTAATGGACAACAGTCTCTCGTTCTCTTATAAAGCACACAGTCACACACTGCTGAGAGGGTGAGTCGGGTTTGATCTGCAACCTCTTTTGATGCAATCCTCTTCTTTTTAAAACCACCTTAATATTTATGTCTACAAAACAATTTCTATTTGGAGAAAGCTTACCACTTGGAGAATATCTTCATCCTTTGGCATAACACTGAGCTCCAGCGTGGTGTCACTGAAACGGAGCACAACACTGTCAGGAGGCAGAGGCTGACAAGAAACTCTAACTCAGAATGCTTTGTTTAGGGGCACTTTTAAATCATCACTTTCAAAACAAACCATATGAAAAAAGCTGATCGTACACAGGTAGGTGACATACAGAAGAGGGCACCCCACTTAAGTCTCCATAGTACATAATCAACTGAGCTGTCTTTATAATGAGTCGCTAATTCAGAAATAAAGTGTTACTTAATAAACAGTTTTAGGACAAAACTTGGAAAAATATCAGAGTATGAGTCTTTATTGATTATTTGAGCAATAAGATAAATTATAGGTTTTTATTATCAACTTAAAACTTGTTAACACAAAATAGCCAGGAACTCTTCTAGTGACTTTATTGCTTTGATGCTTTTAAGTTCTGGGGATTGAACCCCAACCCCTCAAATTTAACATTTTAAGCAGATTTAAACTTTCTAATTTTGAAAATTCCATCTTAGCCTCAGAAGTGGTGAACATAATTTCTGTTTTCAGCATCATCTCAACTATTTGTTTTATCACTAGGATTTAATCTTAGAACCTTATAGGTACAGCTTAAAGCGTTTTTCATGCTGGCACTGCAGATCTCTGTTGGGGGCGGCTCCCTGGGTTTGCACAGCGCAGTGCGAGATCATCTGCCAGACCCTGGTTTGATCTGCAGCACAGGAAAGAAAAGGGGAGGAAAGAGAGGACTCAAGAGGAGCTGAGATGAGCCCTATGACATGGCCTGCATTCATATTTAGATATATTAAGGATAGTGGAGCTATCTTAACCTATTATCACAGCTTCCCTTTGATACCCTCAAAGACTAATAAATAATCCCAATGGAAAATAGAAAAAAGTTCAAAATTCACTACTTTGTATCCGTTCAGGTTGATAAATTTCAGGAGGTTGGTAAACCAATGAGCCACTGGTGCAAACACATCTAACAGCCCCTGCGTTCCAGCATTTCAGGAGGTGAAAACACACATATTGTACAGAGACGTCCCCTGCAGTGACGTCACTGCAGCCCTGCAGCTTCCAGCTGCTCTGCCCCTGCTACACAACTTTCTGAAATAAACTAACATCATAAAAGGCTTCTCTCTCAGTATCAAATTGCTTGTAGCAGAAATTTTAAGACTACTATTCTCGTGTTACTCTGAAAGATCTGTACCAATAATAGAAGAATTATGTGGATTTGGGGAAAACAGAAATTAGGTTATATACTGGCATGCTGGTGTAGGTGTGATGATCTGGTTACTGGAAAGGGAGAATGTGTACACCTCTCGCTGCCTCTGCAGAGGCTTTGCCTCCAATACCTACATTAAAGACTTGGCTTCTCTAGGAATTTCATTAAATATTAAAACATCAAATAGAATACTCTGAGATCAATTAATCATGATCATATCATTTCATTGTAAAAACATCACAATGCATTAGGACATTAGTATAAATAATTTAAACTATGGCACAAACTGCTGTAGACATAGCTAGAGACCCTGGATAAAAACCTTAGGAAGGTGGGGAGACAGCACAAAGTGCCTGCTGAGCTCCAGGAACGAGACTCTGTCTCAACAGGGTGGACAGTGTTCCGGAGGAAGAAGATGCCCCATGTTGTCTTTGACTGAGACATACCTACACAATCTCACCTTTTAGAAAATAAAGAATTTCAACTGAGTTATAAACAGGTGAAGAAAGCAAAGAGGAACCATTCAATAATTCAAAAGTTATGGATTTGAACTGGGGAAGAACCTCTTAGAAAGGAGATAGGATTGGAAGTCAGAGCCAGAGTCATGCTAACGCTTGATAGAAACTCAATATCATGACCTCTTTGACTTTGGATTGTTTTTTGTTTTTGTTTTTCTTAAAAAAAAAAGTTATTTAAAATTTTTTAAGTGTGAGAGTGAAAGAAAAAAAGAAGACTAAATTGTCTTTGTGACCCTCCAGACAGTTATTCTTTAAGTGTGTATTTACCTTTAAGGCTCAAAATTCTGTCCTTCTGTACATTGCAGGCAAGTGAATTTAAAAAGAATAGCTTGCTGAGATTGTTAAAACAAATGAAGGAATACAAGCTAATGATTTTATTCAATAAGACTGTTAGGTAAAATACATTAAAAAATATGCATCTCACTAAGATTTTTTTTTTTTTAGAAAACCAAGTGTCCATTTATTTCCAGATTTATTTAAGCAAATTACATATTTGTCCTTTCAAATTAAAGTGGAAAATTCATATTATCTATACTATGTGCTCTCAAACCACAAAGGATTTTACATTGTAACCATTACAAATTGGCAAGCCCACTAAGCAATGAATGGGCTAATGCTTGGCAACACCAGATCCATTATCCTCTGAAGGAGAAAGTTCCATGTCACTCCAGTCCCTCACAGGGCACAGCTCTGTACGAAGCCTACCTGCTCAACAGGGTTTTAACCAAATTAATCAGTTTTCAAGAATCCTACCTGTTCTGAATGAGAGCGATTACTTGGGAATAGGTCTTTCCTATGACACTTTCTCCATTGACTTTTATAATCCGGTCACCTTCAAAGAGTAATTACAAAGAATAATTAAATAGAAAGGAAGAAAATAAACAAAGTAACACATCAGGAACTCCAGAAAGAATTCGCTTTGAGTAACTGTAAAGTAACTCCCCAGACTGCTCCATCTCTTTGCCGTTCTAGTGGTGCTGGGGTCAAACTGCTTGCTACCTGAACTACACCCCACACCCAATGTGCCTTATTTTTAAAAACTACTTGCATATTTTTAAGTACCTGTTAAAAAAATAAATCTCCCTGTTGATGCCTCCAACTTCTCATGAAGTACAGCCATGGTGCAGGTAAGAATTCTGATACTGATGACCTTAAACAGCAATGGTGCCCAGATGCTCTCCTGTCCTGTCCCCAGCTACTCCTCCATCTCCCATCAGGCTTCAGGTGATGCTAACGTTTCAACAGGGTCATCTGATTTTATCTACTCACTTTTTACAGTGTTCTTCCAATCTACATATCTGGATAATTGATAAATGTGCTGGGAAACTTAAATACAAATATATGCATTTTTTTTACTTTGAATCTATTAATTTACTCTTCATTTTAATGGAGGAAAATATTGTATTACTCAAAAAAAGAATAAAAAGGCAAAAAAAAGAAACAAAGGACAGAAGAATGGGAAATAGAAATAAAGTATTTTTTGTGTGTTTATCACACTATCTCCAACTTATTGTCTCAAAATTGTCACCTGGAATATGACAGGTGACATATTCTAATGAAATTCTGCATGTATAGATATTAATAAGCATATTATGCATATTAATGATACTAAAATAAGGGTTACTTTAAATATGATTTGGATAATTACAATGTAGCCTAGTAAATCTCAGTAGTGGTACTCACTACTTATTTGCAGCTGAATATATACTTTATTCAAAGAGAACTAAAAGAAGCATACAGAGGCTGTCAATTTCTATTTTGAATTGCTTTATGCATTAAAAACAACAAAAATATTCTAAAGTATTTTCTAAGCTTTGATTTTGAGTTAATTTTATTAATGTCACAAATCAAATTAGCAAGATATAGTATCAAGCAGCTAATAATCTCCCTGTGTTGACCACCACGACTGACACCTGGAAATGAAGGAACTTGCAAGTATTCAGGGGAGCTCAGCCATTCTGCAGGTTACCTGCCTGATCAGGGTAAGATCATTTCAATTACACTGAAGAAGTCTCTTCATCAGTTTGTTGTTTTACAATCCTTTTGTCAAAATCCAACTGTAGATTTCAAAGAGACTGCAAGTCTGTGTCTTAACTAAAAGTGCCCAGATTGTATCAAGTTTCGTTGTTCTGTCTGTTCAGCTACATCCACTGAGTTTCAAGAAAGACAGAACTAAATCTCAGCAGCAGCAGCAACAACAACAAAAAACAACAACAACAACAAAAACGTGAAGAGAGAGAGAAAAGTTCATAAAAGAATAGAAAAGGGAAAAAAAAACTACAGGAAAAGATGTGTAAGGGAAAGTAAAATAAATGTACGAGACACTGATGACTAGTACCTGTGCATAGCCCAGCCTCAGAGGCAGGCCCGCCTTCCTTCACTTGTTTAACAAATATGGTATCCATCGGCTCCAATCGGTTTCTCTGCTTTCCTAGGAAAGAGAAAAATCCCGAGAAATGGTTTTGCTTCACAGCATTTTAATAAAACTCCCAAACATAAAATGAGAGTTAATTAAAACAAGAGTAGAGATTTTTCAGAGTATTAAACACAACCTGAATCTGGATGTTAATACAAGACTGTAGGAATTTTCCTTAAATGAGCATTTATTTGCTTCTGCCATAACACAATAACAATCAAATTGAACATAGTCTGTGTATTTATGACTAAATTATATGCTATGCATATCTCACAGCTCCTAATTCCCATAGTTAATAAATATAATGACCACTAGGGCACAGAGGACCAAGTCTTGAAGGGATGAAAGATGTTCAAAGGTCACAGAGCTAACATAAGCCATAGCTTGTTACACAGGTACACTCAGACTACAGTCTTCTAAAACTAAATTGTGCTAACACTGAAGACATTCCTTTCTTCTAAGGGGTGATGGGAAAAATAGGACATAAATAAGTGACAAGATAGTATAAAACTTGGTTAAAGACAGACACAAAATGGAGCGGTGACAATAAGAACAGGACCAACATGAATACAGTCAGTGTAGTGGTTTGAGAGAAAATGCCCCCCAAACGGACAGGCACTACCGGAGGAAGCACGGCACTTTGGGAGCAGGCTTTGAGGTCTCTTTTGCTCAAGTTCAGTGTGACAGTTGACTTTCCAACTGCCAGCGAGATGTGGGACTCTCAGTTTCAGCACCATGTCCGCCTGTGTGCTGCCATGCTCCCTGACATGATAATAATGAACTGTAAGCTGCCAATTTGCTTAAATGTTTTCCTTTATAGGAGTTGCCATGGTCATGGTGTCTCTTCACAGCAATAAAAACCCTGACTAAGACAATATTTCACAAGCTGTGGTCCACAGACCCTCCTATAAATAGATACACAGATACCCCAGCATTTATGGAATAAAAATTGTATAGGAGCCAAACAGAATTTCATTTTGTTAACAAGTTTCCAAGGTGACCCTAATACTACAATGTGAGAAAAACAGTTTCCAAAGAAGTAGATGTCAAGGAAAGAGTCAAATAAGAGAGAACAGGCCAGCTGACTGATAAACACCAGATGAGCCTGTGGAATTAAAAAACAAAACAAACCCCACAGTTTTCAAGGTTAGGACCATTGTGGCCTGCACCACCTGGGGCTGTGTTAAAAATGCTGGTCTGGCCAGGTGGTGGTGGCCTTTAGTTCCAGCACTCGGGAGGCAGAGGCAGGTGGATCTCTGTGAGTTCAAGGCCAGCCTGGTCTACAAGAGCTAGTTCCAGAACAACTAGGACTGTTACACAGGGAAACCCTGTCTCATAACAAAACAAAACAAAACAAAAACAAAAACAAAAACGAAAAAGAAAAAGAAATGCTGGTCTGTAGACTGGCTCCAAATAGTCTGAGGTTAGCTAGAACCACTGAAGTAGAAGACACAAACCTTTAAAGAAGAATGTAACTGAGTAACAAGGCATACGGTAATCTAATGTTACTTACTAAACAGCAACACTGGGGAGGAGAGGGTGCCACATATGAGAATCTCCATTATAGCCACATGAAACTGTCTATCATGTCTGCACAAAGGAGGCTCGAAAGACATTTCTCAGTAACAGACCACCAATCGGTCACTCCTGTTCATACCTAGCTCTGTAATCCGAAAGACACCCTCTAAAGCAGTAACTCAACCACCTAAGCCATCCTACTATAGTAGCAATGCTTATGTTTCAGAAGCCAGCAGGCATGGTTGGGAGCATTCAGGGTGGTATGGTCACAGACCCCTTTGCCACTTGAAAATCTCTGTTCATAACTTGGGTTCACTGAAAGTATCACTACAAAAATTGTATATCTGTGTCTTTATTTGCTGTATTTGTCACTAATAGAGCTAATGGTGGGAAATGTATCATTCTTTCTGATATCCACAACAACTAGAAAATGGTTGGTACAGAGCTGGCATCTAATAAGCACTTACAAAGTTGATGAATAAACATATTAGTCTAACTCTCACAGGCTTTGGAGATAGGAATCGTGATCCAAAGACTGTCATGACTGAGCAGGAATGAGAAACGAAGAATTCGGCAGAGGCAGACTAACGTGGCGTCTCAGTAACTGACATTAATCCAGCTTTATTTACACAAGCCCACTTACAATCACAGTCATGAGCCCAACATTCTGTCAGTGACAAACTATACACAGCAGTGGCTATACCACACAGCACTCGGTGTGTGAAGGTCATGCTGTCTATCTACATTTCTAGCTGTTTTTTCTTTGTAGTGCTGGGATGGAACCTAGGGCTTGCACTTTAGGTGAGAGCTTTGCCAATGAGTTACATCCCCATCTAGGTATGTGCACACTAACTCAGCAACAAAAATCACCTAGGGACATCTTCTCATAATTGAGGTGATGCACAGATGCAATTTCTATGAAGAAAAAGTGTATTTCAATTTGAGTTATTCAAAATGCAAACACTGAATTCTAATCCTGAAGCTAGGCTGTCTAGATCCCTTTGTGACCAACCCAACATTTACAACAGCTCGCATTAAAAGAAACCACTTGTCCTTTTGGCTAAAGATCTGAGGATTTAACATTTTGCTTTACCAAGACATTGCTTTCACAGGAAGGTGTGTAAAATAAAAGACATTTGTTTTTTTTATTGATGTCTCTCATCTGTCTCATTTAAAAATATAAACCATAGAGGCTATGGTTTATATATATGAGATGGCTCAGCAGTTAAGAGCCCCAGCTGCTCTTACAGAGGACCCAAGTTTGATTCCCAGCACCCACGTGGCAGTTCCAGGAGATCTGATGCTTTCTTCTGGCCTCCTTGGGCACCAGACATACATGTGGTACACAGAGATACATGCAGGCAAACACACATACACATAAAATAAAATAACAAAATATTAAAATAGAAATAAAAGGGCTTGCTGCAAATTGTATTAAATACAAATGATTATTGATACACTCTACAAAATAATAAGAAGTTAGTTGGGTAGCAATGTGATGACAGTTAAAAATTTTGGTAGCAAAGTTTACTTACACAGAGGAGAGATGAGCAAAACAATTTGGGCCTAATGTCTACAAAAGAAATACTACTTTTGCAATGGCTTCTTTTGTAAAATCTATCAATTGTTATTGATAAGTCTATCATCACACTATGCCTAAGGACCTATGGAGGTGAAATAGATTAAAAAAGAGGCCAACAATATCAATAAACCATAACATATGCTGAAAATGAACTTTCTTCTAAATTCTACCAGGGTTTAATCTAATCCCTCCTATAAAAAAAGAAAACCGTTCTTAATGTATCCCTTAAATAAGCAAGTCTCAGTAAGAATTTACATGTCTTCAATTTCTATAGTCAGATTTTATATTTTGAGTTAAGACATTTGGCTCATTAATTTTAACAGTACACACACACACACACACACACACACACACACACACACACACACACACACAGAGACCGGGGGGGGTGAAATTCTGTTTGAACTTGAGCTCAGATGTATCAAGCCAGGCATGGTGGTACATCCCTATAACTTAAACATTCAGAAGGTGGAGGCATTAGGATCATGAATTTGAGGCCAGCCTAGCTAGAGAGCAAGCCTTGTCTTAGATGAATGGACAAACGAACTAACTAACGAATGAATGAATGCTAAAGAGACTGCTCAGTAGGTAGAGTGCTTCTTGCTGAGATGAAAACCTGAGTTTGGATCTCCACCACCCATATAAAAGGCACATGGCAGCACACAGTTATAACCAGCCCTACACGGGCTGATCTCGGGGACACACTGACCGGCCAGCCAGCTGTAACCATGAGCTCCAGGTTCCGTGCAGTATGACTCAAAACACAAAGTAGAAAGTGATAGAAGATGAAGGCCAAAATTATTTGCATTTCTGCATAAGTATGTATACTCACATCCACACATGTACAAAAAACATGTATACGCCACATATACACCAAGCAAACAAAAATAGGATAATAAGTAAATAAAATGTGTGTCATTCAGTCTCCCCAGTCATTAGGTTTTGCAGATCAGTTTCTGGACATATAAAACGAAAAATCCAAACTTGAGTTTTAATAATCCAACAGGGAGACTTTGCCTGTTTCCTTCCAGACAGCTGCCTTGGTGATTCTTACAAAGTCACTTCCACTTTCCTTCCTTTACTTCTCCATCTCTTGACTTTTTAAAGACACACAGAACATGTTTAAAGGTCAAGTATCATACTCTAGTATCTTTTTATTGACCTTCTCTAAGTTTTTATATTAGCATATCTGTGTAACTAACTAAATCTTTATCTTTGCAGAAAATAAGCACATGAAAGGGTCTTACATGGGTGCAAAAGGCTAAATGAAGTGACCACACCTGACTAAGAAGGCATGGTGAGCACACATGAACTGACTGAAAGCTCAGGACAATATTTAAAATCAGAGAACACATAAACTTTACAATAATGAGATCAGTTGCACTTAAGTAAAAAGAATTAGTAATATACAGGGAGGGGGAACCATCCAATTCTGAATGTCCAGGGGAGTCGGATACTGTGCCCAGGATAATGGAGTACTTCAGAAAAACTTAGGCCTTATACCAGAATATACAGCTTAAAACCCCACCTTTACCATTTACTTTCCAATCCAGCTACCAAAATTTGTAATATTTGATTAAGTTCTAACTAATTAATTATTGGTTATTGATATAAGCGTCAAATTTAACTGAGCGCTCTTTATTTTACCTGGCAAGTATTTTTTTAAAAGATTTTTATTATGTATACAGTATTCTGTATATATGCCTACTCGCCAGAAGAGGGTACCAAATCTCATTACAGATACTTGTCAGCTACCATGTGGTTGCTGGGAATTGAACTCAGGACCTCAGGAAGAGCAGTCAGTGCTCTTAACCTCTGAGCCATCTCTCCAGCCCCCTGGCAAGTATTTTTTACATAACTTGCTTACATGTGCCAGTTTACTCAGTTGCATAGCAGTAACAACAGTAATTATGCC